GCAAATTCATGTTTGACTTGACGATGGAGAACAATCTCAATCCTCACCAAGCTCCAATGGCGGATCAGCTTCCCTTCTCTCTCCCACCGTATCCTCAGGTAACTCCACCACAAGCTCAAATCAGATTCCGAACTTTTGATGGTGAATTCGTAGATCTAAAATTTTTCTGTTGTTTTTCAGATGATTATGGAAGCGATTGAAGCATGTGACGACGCGAACGGAATCAACAAAACGGCGATTGCGAAACACATCGAGTCAACTCAGGTCGCTTTACCACCGTCACACACGACGCTCCTCAGCTACCATCTCAACCAGATGAAACAATCAGGCCAGATCGCGCTCGTCAAGAACAATTACATGAAACCAGATCCAGATGCACCGCCTAAGCGTGGCCGTGGTCGTCCTCCGAAAGCAAAACCTCAGGGAGATTCAAGCCACGTGTCGATCGTCCCAGATCCGTCTGGTTCTCCGCCGAGGCCACGTGGTCGTCCTCCTAAATCGAAGGAAGCTTCTACATCGGAGACGGTGAAAGCGAAGGAACCACCGAGGGTTTCTGGTAGGCCGAGAGGAAGACCACCGAAGAAGGCGAAGACGGAATCGGACACTGTTGAGGCAGCTACGGTGGCTGCTCCGGCGGCGAACGGTGAGCGTAGAGGACGCGGAAGGCCACCGAAGGTGAAACCAGTGATGGTTCCTGTTGGTTGTTAGAGATTCTCTCTCGAATTAAGCCTTAAGCAAAACCCTTAAAAAAAATGTTTTGATTAGAGACTTTGTTAAAGCATAATTTCGAAAAGGAGAGTTTTTGTAACTTTCTATTTTCGCTTTTAAATTAGTATTTTCCCTAATTTGTTTTTCTTTTAATCGTCTAGTTTTTGTTGTTAATTGTGATTTTGAGTAGTGAAAAATTGAGGTCAGAGAAGAATGTAATTCGACTTTGATTGTGGGGTGTGATGTAATTACCCTTTTATTTTAATTTTAAGTAACGTTTGGTTTATTAAAAGTATGATTTGTTTCTATTAATGTTTGATTATTGAGTGATGAAACAGTCAAAGTTCATGTGTTATTATAGTCAGAACTTTATTGACAGTGTGTACACTGAATATTGGAAAGATTAACAATGACATTTTTTAAATTAGAAAATTTTGAGGTTTTTGGTTTGAGGCGGGAGCTATAGTTTTCAAAACATTTGCCAAAATTTTGGATTAAAATGTGAGTCGGTAACGAACACACTTAAGTGATGGTAATCTTCCCATTTTGATTGAAAATGAAAACCAGAATGGTATCAAAGAAAGGTTTGCTTTTTCATTAACTTTAGATAGAGAAGAAGGCCCGAAATTAGTTCATGGACCTATAATGGGCCTAAGTTATACAGTGTAATGAAAGGTGAAGAATATTTTGAGAACAATGATTTAATTCGGCAACATGTTTGAGCCTGCTTCCCAAAAAGGCTCTCTAGCTAATAAATTACTTGTACAATCCATCATTATACCCAAAAAAGCATGATTTTTTTTTTTTTTTGTCGTAAGCATGATTTAAGATTGTATAATCAATCTTTTTGATGTAAAAAAAACTATATACACATTTATTAAATGATAGCTAAATCTACAAGCAGTAAAATCATTTGCACAATATGTAAGTCTCTGTAATTTAGAGTAAGCACCTTCAAAGTTCCACCGACATAAAACATAGGTTTTTTCATAACCAGTAACACCCTTCCAATCTTCCATATGTACACAAAACTCGGCATGTAGTGAAAAAATCTCGGCGTGTAGTGAAACAAAACCAGTGTGAATTTGGACAGTGCAATCTCGTGAACAAAAGACAGACGTTTTTTTGTTTGGAAGCATTTGAGTGTGTGGGTCCAGTTACAGAGGTCAAACCACAAAAGAAAATATATATGAAATGAGTATGAACGAACACATCGATACTTGGATATGTCCTACTCATTTCACGGGTCGATAAAGATAAAAAACACACACCAAACCTTAGTTATAACCGCTCCACATATATGATTGAGATCTATTTATACGAAATTGTACAATAGCAGTATGTGTAATATATACGATCAGTTTAGTAATTAATCAATGGTGTTTGGTGTAACGAATGCATTATAGCACCTGCTACCTAGTATGATCCTTTCATTTGTAACTGTAGATTTTTGTACTTTACCATAACCATTGATTCACATCTTAGACGATTGATACTACTTATCACTGCTTTTTAGCATTTGCATAGGATTTCGATTTTTTTTTTTTTAATGCATTTGTATATGATTTTTATTAAAACAAAATAAAAGCTTACTATAAGCATATCAAATATGCGTTTAAATAAACAAAAGTACACAAACTTCAACTAATTTGAGACCACCATGACATCATCTAAATAACCAAATTAAAAAAAAAACCACCATATAAGCACCATAAAATCTCCCTAAATCGGGGATTCACAATTATTGTCACCTTATTTAACTCGGATTGTTATGAAACCCATAAAAAAACAAAAATTAATAGATTAATAAAAATCACATTCGAGTCCAACAGAATCACCAAAGCATTAGACCCTACTCTCTTAATACCCTTTGTACTTTTCAGTCTCCAGTTTTCAGTTTTCACACACAGATACACACAACTATCATATAATTATAATTTAAACCCATAATATATTAAAATTAACAAAATAGACCCACTCGTCACGGAGTTCCATTGTTGGCATAAGTGTTAACAAGTGCAAGAGCATTACTCGTTAACCTTTTCACTTCATCAACTCGATCACAAACGCTTCTCTTAATCACTCCTCCTAATACTTCCTCCATATCTTCAAATCCATCCGTACACGTGTCCTCATCGGTCAATGCTGCACTCATCCATGTTTGTACGTTACTCATCTGAAACCTAAACGTCTCCACCGATCTCCTAGCCGCCGCAACGCCTCCGCCGTTCATGTCGCGTAGCTGTCGGAGAGATCCTCTCATCTCGTCAACCGCGTCTTCAACGTTCGAAACGCAGTCACGGATCGCGGCGGAAGCGGTTTGGTGGCCGTCGGATGCAACCGCGGTTACGGCGGCCGAACGTGAGAGTTTGGAGAGAAAAGTGGCAGTGGATTTGGCTTGAGACAAGGAGACTCCGATTGCGAGTTTGGCTAGCCTCGCTGGACTATCTTGAACGGCGGAGGCGTAGCCGGCTAGAGACGTGAAGCACACGTCAGGGTATAGAGTGGCGTTGCAGCTTGTTCTGATGAAATCTAGGTCGTTGGTTGTTGCTGTGTTTGGTCGTGGAGGGAATTTGACGGCTGAGATTGATCGGAAAATGAAGAGAAAGGTGGTGATGAAGAGTAGAAACGTCGTCGTATGATTTTCGCTTACCATTTTTTTTCACTGTTTTTCGAACTTCTTGATTATTATTTTTTTGGTTTGGTTCATCGTTAGGGGAGTGATTGGCGGGGTTTATGTAGGCCTTAAGGATGAGACTTTGATTTTACAATTTTACCCATTCTTGTTCTGTTGATTTACTGGATTTGCCACTATAGTTAATCATTTTGTCTGATGTGTGTGAGTTCACGGATTATTTTTTCGGTTTATAAGTATAAGTCCAATATAGGTTCACATTAAGTTATATTTCTTTTTAAGAAATAGTAGGAATAACAATTTAAAATTCACTGTATGTGAGACATTTCGTAAAGGAACTTCATTCTTAGGTATTTTTGAATCTTTGATAGCTACAAATAAATACGTTAAGGAGAATTTATGTATATATTCCAATTTTAATATTGCATGACATATGCATGCTCAAAAAATGATTTTCTTACTTCTTATGTCATGCTCTAACAATGAATTTTTTTACTTCCAACTTTTTTAACAACGACATATATACCCACAAATGTGGTATATTAAACTCGCTTTTTATTCAATTTCGATTAGAATTAAAATTCGCATGCGCATTGGAAAGCTTAGTTTGGGACTTATTTGTGTTACCGGCTTAGTTTGTAGATCATCCAAAGTTATTTAAAAACAAAATTATACAATTTTAGTTTACCTTCAGATTTTTACGGATTAGGTGTTTAGGCTAAGTGGTGGATAAAAAACATTAAATTTAGGTGACAAAATAGAAACCTTAATAATCTAAAGGGATCCACCAAAGTTTGGAGATTCCATGGAGATTCGCCTACCTTCTTTATTTTGCGATAGTGGGATGGTGTTTTCATCTGCCGTCCCACAGTAATACTAATACGTTAGAGAAATATTTGGTCACGCAATAGTTGAACACCATTCATCTCCCAAAATCTTTTATTCATTTTCTTAGGAGATAATCAAATTCGAAATATTAATTATGGTACTAGACCAACCTTGCTTTTTAAGGAGACATATAAAACTCCACACAATGGTATTTTTTTTTTTAAAAGCAAAATACTTAGGGTTATGATGATGACTATATATATAGTGGGGATGTAGCCGACTTATTGCTGTTGCGTAAGACATATTGTATATATATACATACACGCATAGTCGTTTAATATTATACCTCTTTTTCGAAAATACGTTAAATTTATTTTCAAATTGATTTATAATACTACTTTTGAAGAGTGTTGGTTAAGAATGTGATGGAGGGTAAGTAACAACTTTGGTTGTCTTGTTTTAGAAGACGACCTTCACATTTATTTGTGAGGAGGGTCCCTTTTCGTTTCGCTACCTTTTCAAAAAACAAAATATGAAATATTTAATGATGATCTTCTTTAGTTAATTACGGACTTTTAAACTTTTGTAGAGATTTGTGGCGAGATTGGCTCAAAATCTACACTCGATTATACAAAATAGATAGGACATAATGATAGAGGCCACATGGGAACATTTATGACTATGATGTTTTTATCTTTTGTTCCAAAAGCTCTCCCTAATCAACTAACCCACCTGTAATTTTTTGTTTACTAACAACCTCGATCAAAATGTTTTAAATGATGTTTTAACCGTGATCTTGATTAGTAAGTAGTAACCAATGTTTTAAGGTTGATTAAAAAATACCACAATAATGTTTTGTTTATGGGAAAACCACAATGTTTTGATATACTAATATAAAGACTAAAAAGTTTGATTGGTTTTTCTGGTAGCGGTTGTTGGCGTTTGACAACAATCATAGTTGTTGGTGTCGCTCTAAACCTCTCAAAATTAAAAACGGTTTCTCTCGAATGTTTGCGGTTGCGGGTGTTTGCGGTTGAGTAATTAAAAAAAATGAAAATTGACTTAAGAAAAAGAGAAACAATATTTAAATATCATAATTAATATTTGGGTATTATTACTACGAAATATATCATCAGTTTGAAATTTTCTTATTAATATTCAATAACTTATCATATTATATATATATAAAATCTTCAAACCATAATTCTTTAAAAAAAAAAAATTCTTGATCGCTGACTAATAAATCTAGCAAACTAAAATGTTCAAAATGTTACATTAACCTCTAAAAAAACAGCAAAATACCCATTCAAATCATAATTTTCATCTAAACTAAATAAAATAAAAAATGAACATATTAATATATTCATTGTGGATCCGAAAACCCACAACCAAGAATTTGATATTGTTGAAAGAAAATTAAGGCCTAAATCTTAATTATGAATCTTATATTAAATTAGACTGCATATAACGAAAATGATTTGTATTAATACGAGTATATGAATCAATATCAATACAACGAATTGAAGACATTGAATTAGAATGAACAAAGCGTCAGCTCGATGAACAGTAGTGCATAGTAATTTGTGTAGAGAATACAGAATAAAATCTACCCCTTGAAAATGGAGCTTATGTTTTTATAGTCCTCCTTCTGGCTCAACCACCCCTTGATTTGCAGAGCACGCTCTTGATATGCGGAGCACATTCTACCACTATTATCGGTTGATTAATTCAGTTCGTTGTTGTCGACCTCCAGCTCGATGTTATCAATCTCCGGCTCGATGTCATTAAGTCTCAGCTCACAGATTAAAGTGGGCTTCTCTTACTGGACCGTTGGGAGTTCGCAAATGGGCCTTGTATTTTGATATTTTTTAAGTAATTGGGTTTTTGAGTGGGACGGGGTTGGTGTCAAACCCAGCACCAACACTCATGG